TTCATTGATACCCTCCGGAGCTTGGCCTACAGTTCATAGCGATTATGATAAGTAAAAATAATAATTTATATTTAAGGTGCTTATAGCCATACTATCAACCTCAAAAAATATTTCAAGCTAAATATTTTTTCAACGTACTTTGATACGCAGTACTAAACGAAAATCCAAAGTATAAGAAGAACTAAAAAATAAATGCCTTGAAAGTCTGAGGTTCCAATTGCGTAAACATTTATTTGTATGATTTAATTTTCGAAAAATAATATGGCTAGCCTCTCTTAAACTTTCATATGTTATAGAGAATTGTAAATTAAAATAGGTTTTTTTATTTTACAAATATTAGATGTGAAATCTTTTTTTCTTCTCTATTTCCCCTTAATTTCTAAGACCTTATTTAAGAAGTTAGTAAGTATAAGTATATAGCGAGAAAGACTCGTTGCTTTCTTTCGCTATGATATACGCGGGTATATATAGTTATATAGCTGTAGTCGGCATTTCCATGCACACCACTCCTCTCTCCGTAGGCACATATTCAGTATACCCCTTCCACGCGTCTCCGAAGTATGTGCCTACATGCCCATTTCCACGCGAATCTGTAGGCACACACTCGGTATACCCCCTCCACGCTTCTCAAATAAAAAAAAAAATATGTGTGCCTGGTTCGACCGCTTGGCCGCGACGGGGCGCTCGAAACAGTGGCCAAAAGTGAACTCGCGCCGTAGCATTGCAGTCAGCAATCTCTCTACTAATCTCTGTACGTGACTTATAGGAACGTAAAAACTAAAAACATCCAATTCACTTTAATTTCCACGTAAGATGGAATCAATAAAAACAGATAATACACCAAAACAGGCAATGACATACATTTGTGGTGGTTAGTAAAAAATTGTCATTTAAATATTCGGGTGTTAATAAATCTTTGTAAAGTGTTTCACGCGTTAACCTCAAAGTCTACTCTCTCTACATCGGTGTTACGAAGTAGAATTTGGAATAATCAACGAATCAATAGACGATCAATACTTTTTTTTATACCACTACACTTTGTAAGTTAATTATTTATATAATTATTATTTGGATTGTTCCAGAATGTCATTACGAGAACGAAATTCGGTCGAGGGATCCTATCCGTTGTCGAGAATGTGGTTATCGTATTGTATATAAAAAACGAACTAAGCGACGTAAGTGTTGTCATTTTTCAAAATTAGACAATCATAATTTTTTAAAACATAGTTAATCAATTCAATAATTCCTTACTTTCTTCTATGATTTACAGTTGTTGTATTTGATGCTCGTTGAGATCTCAAGATTAAGCAATGGACTTGTATCATTGGATTATCACATTTAATGAAACCCAAAGCTTTGAACTTTTTTATGAGTTTTTATTAATGATTAATGTATATGAATAATTTGGTACTGTACAATACTGATAACGTGAATTAAATTAGTTGCTTATTATGAAACACAATTTCATAAAAGCATTGATTGATAATATTTTTAATGTTAATGATATTTAAGACGTGCAAAATTTAGTTTGAAATATCTACGACCTGTCGATTTCTCTGACTCCAGTAGGCATTGACTTTTTTTAATGCCATACTTGCACTAACACTGTTTACCAACTAAGAATTTTGCGCTACTTACAAAATATTATGAAGATTCCATGTGAATAGTTGTGAGTTGACAAAAAATTAGATATAAGCTGATTTGCTAATTTATGAGTAAAACGTACTGAATAACATCGTTGTCACACATCATTTTTTATGATTATAACACACTATCAAATCCTTGAAATAATGTAAAAGTATACTTGTTCAACTTAAAGGTTCAAAAAACGTTTTTAATTTTAATTAGGCTTAAGAAAACTCTAGGTTTTTCGATTAATTAGTTATGTGGAACAGTAAGGGTTATAATGAGATTTAGTTAAAATTTTTCTTGATCATCGTTGCTACGTATTTTCCGATTCTCTCATCACAATTGAAATAAAAAAAGTTTAATATTTTTGTATAAAACAGAAGCAAAGTGACTCATATCGTTAAATGTTATGCATGTATGAACTCACTGCAGTATTACGTTAAAAAAGTAATTTTAAAGTGATTGCGAAATAAAAAATTAAAAAAAATTATACATCATGCTTGATGCACAGTAATACATTATCTATAAAAATATAAAGTCAAAAAATAACTGTGGTAAGTTAAAAAAAATTCGAGTAAAATAAATAGTATTTTTCTCTGTAACTGTAGTGATTATTGCGGAAATGGTAAAAAAAAAATTTCATTATTATTTATTCTCACTATTACATTAGGCCAGCACAAAATCAAAAACTACTAACATATAATTTATGCTAATGCATGCAACAGATGTCATCCACACAAGTTCGATAAAACTAAAGTTTGAAGCACATACTATCAATATAAATATGTAGATATGTGGATATCGCAGTGTAAATACCTCTCTGAGGTCATATTACAAAAAATAAAGATATTTGGATATAATTTACATGGGAAATTCCACGAATGATCTCCTTGCGCAGGTTTCCTAAATCAAAAAATCTTTTGTCCTATCCTGTACTTTCGATGTATACCTTCCCCATACCTTCAAACGAGTATGGAAAATCTTGCAAGATTGAACAAAATGTAAACAAAAATTTACACTACAGTGGGCTCCTACACCCACCTACCTGGAGATTTTTTGTAGAATTCCTCGTGTAGTAATGCTCCCCTGAACTCCCCGACAGCATGGCTTGCGGCAAAACATACGTGGCAGCTGGCAGGCGCAGTAGCGGCAACAACAACCCAGCCGGAACACCAGCGCAATACGTACCTATTCGTTTTGCACATGAAAAAGATTTAAACACCCCCGCATTGAATTTAAGGTATAATACACCGCGTCAGTCGGTCCGAGCACTCCGAAACTTGTCTGCAATAAGGATGTCAAAACGGTGAATGACAGTTGCATCGATATCAGGTGCGTAAAAGTGAGAAAACATGGTGAGGGTGACATTCTTGCACCCGGACCTTGGTATCGGCGGCGCCGAGAGGTTAGTGGTCGACGCAGCACTGGCTCTCAAGCACCACGGTCACGATGTCAACTTCGTTACGAGTCATCACGACAAGAGCCATTGCTTCGACGAAACCAAGGATGGCACTTTCGAGGTCACGGTCGTAGGTGATTGGCTTCCCCGGCATGTTTTCGGCAGGTTTTTTGCTATTTGCGCCTATTTCAGAATGGTAAGCGAACTAGCTATTGTAAATTTATTTTCTTAATGTACCTACAATTAGTTGACGAAAAGTGCGATTTTTTATCTATTCATTTTCATCTTACTTATTTTACAGATGTATGCAGCCCTGTATATAATTTTAAAAGGTGACGTTCCTGACATTGTTTTCTGTGATTTAGTATCTGCGTGCATTCCAATACTCAAGTTGAGAGTACCAGTAGTTGTGTTTTATTGTCATCATCCGGATCAGGTACTGACAAGTTATGAAAGTCAGCTGAAAAAGCTCTACCGTGCTCCAATTAATTATCTTGAAGAAATTACTACAGGCTTGGCCGACAAAGTATTTGTTAATAGTGTTTATACCAAATCCGTATACAAAAAAACTTTCAAAAGACTGAATGCAGAGAGCACTGAAGTGTTGTGTCCTTCAATAAACACAGCTTTCTTTGATCGAGTACATATACTCACAATGGAAAGGGTATTGGACAAAAGAATGTTGTCTGACACCTGCTTCTTACTTTCCATCAACAGATATGAGCGTAAAAAGGAACTATCCACTGCAATTGAAGCATTGGCTGATTTGAAAAACTTACTTAGCAAAGAAGAATTCAGAAAAGTTTACTTAATAATGGCTGGTGGGTATGATAAGAGAGTTGAAGAGAACGTTGAATATTATTTGGAGCTGAATGCCCTTGCCGACGAATTAGGAGTTGCAAGTAAAATATTTTTCTTGAGATCCCCAACGGATATTGAAAAAGTATCTATTTTAGTAAATTGTGATGTTTTAATATATACGCCGCCCAATGAGCATTTTGGGATAGTGCCTTTAGAGGCAATGTATGCTTCGAAGCCTGTTGTTGCCCACGATTCTGGCGGACCTAAAGAATCTGTTGTAGATGGTATTACGGGTTTTCTCGTGGAAAAAACAAGTTTTGCCGAAAAACTGGCAGTATTGATAAAAGATGAGTCACTTAGAAGACAGTTTGGAGAAGCTGGCAAAAATGTTTTTTTAGAAAAGTTTAGCTTTCAAGCTTTCAGTGAAAAACTTAATTCCTCGATACTTGATGTATATGATAAAAAAAGGCGATAAGTTATAACAATCTTAATAGAATATAATACTGTTAGACATAAATTTTTTAATAGTTTTTTATTGACAGCTTTATCACAAATAAAGGAAATGTAACTAATAAATAAATAGTTTGATCTATTGTTTAAAAAAATCCTTGATGCAACCCAAATAAATATAAAGTACGACGACGAGAATGTTACCGCTTCTGACCATCTGTATCAAGTGCTGAAATAGAAAAGTTATAAGGTGTTATTTTAATAACCAATAATATCGATGTCGTAACATAACACAAAAAAATAAGACAATTACTTTTTCCATCACAAGCAACTATTTTGACCTTATCTACAATAGCAACTTCCTGAACTTCCCTAAACTCAACATCATTAAGCATAAATGTCCATACGTTATCACAAAATCTATATGTATTTAGTTTGCCAGCCTGAAACATAAAATGTATCAAATAAGTATATGTATTTTACTGCTCCCCTTGGAAAATTTTAATTTATAGTTGGACAGAATAACTTTTAAAACAATAATTTGAAAGTATTCGATTTTGAACATAAATTTATCTAATTGCGTCAAAATTTACCCTAAAACTAAGCCTGGACTTTACTCTTGTTGCCAAAGCCTGGTTGATTGATTTGTCAAACTGCAACAAGACCTTCACAGCTAAGGTAGGTGTGATTTGACCATACTAAAAATAAAATACAAGGTTAAGTAAATACTGGATAATTATTGAAACAGCGATGAAAAAACAAAATAAATCGATAGTGTTTATTAAAAATAATCAACAAGAAACATAACCTACTTGTATCAATTCGTCAAGACTTTCCTGCAGGGTGTTGCCTAAGGTCGTATTTCTATATAACTGATACGACATGTTTACAAATGTCTTGACACAACGTTCTTTAATAAACAATAAATATTAAATTGAAATCATAAACAGTTAAAACAAAAGGTATAAGACAATCACTGTTGTTCCTGTTGTCTGTATTCAAGCCGCATGTAAATTAGTAACTTTCAACTCAAAGTCCACGCGACTAATGAAGGACTGTGCACTGTAAACGTATAAGTTAACTGCGGTTATTGGCATAACAATTAAAATTGTTGTCAATTTAGGAACTGCAGTTGTTCTTTTGGTCGCAGTGAGGTAGCCACTGTATAGCTATGATAGCTATACGTAGGTGGTAGGTATGTACCTACCTGATATAAGTTGAGTGTGTGTGTGAGTATGTGCAGGCCATCCTCTTTTTCTCTCTCTCTCTCTCTCTCTCATTCCTCAATGCTTTGATGATGATTGGTGCGTGCAACAGTGAAGAGAGCCTACATTGGAGCTACTTCGGATTCGTCTATCTTTACTGATTGGTTATTGGTTTGTCGCGACCTCGTATTCATACGGAAACCGGTCACGACATCTATAAAAATGCAGAAGCGCGAAGCGCGCACAAAAACAAGTATGTATAAAATAAATTATACTTGTTCTTGTGCGTGCTTAATTGCTTATGCGTTTTTATGCAGATGTCGTGACCGGGCTTCCGTATGTTCAGGTACTGTTATTGTTTACAATGATAATGAAATGAAGAAAGGGTAAAGTGCTCATGCAAACACACAACAAATTAAAACGTATATAGAATCGAGGGTCGTATCTCTGCAGTCCATTCGTTCTCTACTTATTTCTGCATGTGAGAAAACTTAATAATCAGACGTTAAAATTTTTGGAAAATAATCAAACGGTTCTAATAGATGTGGCAACTATTTTTTAATAAAAGTAAGTTAACATTAAAATTATACATTGCGAAAAAATGTTTATACATACATACCAAAGTGAATACTTATTTTTTCAATATTTTTATTAGTATGTGTACTTTATTTGAATTATAAGTAAAAACATGAGTATTTAAATAGTGTATCTACAAAACAAATGTTAAAGTACGTTACAGTAGCCAAGTAATTAATTTTTTTTAATTTTATTAAAAAATTAAACTATAATAATTATGTTAATATAGAATTTTGCTCATTATTTTGGATGTGTAATACTTATAAACCCAATGTATAATATAATACTTAAGGAATTTGAACGAAATTATAAAATTTTATTCAATATTTTTTTTTTTTTTTTTCTTTTCAAGACGAAATAAAATATGTTATTGTATACATTCATTTATATGTATCAGGTGCAAGTATTACATAATATCCTATGTAAGTAATTTTTAATGAAAAGCTATTGCTATGTAAAGTGTCTCGGGATGATAACATTTATAAAGTTTTAAATTTTTTAACATGATTTTTCAAATATTACTTATACTAAATTTAACAATACGTATTTTTAACTGAATCTTCCTAATACGAATGACATTGTTTACAATGAAATATGGAGTGCGTTTTGTGTTATCAGTATGGCAAAACGCATTTGTTACGTAGTTTTGATAGCTGGTAATTGATTCGAAAGATGTAATAAAAATATAATAACCTCTTTGTCTATTCTCATCGAAGAGCTTGTGAATTTATTTGTACTGTTTCTTCAACTTTAGCTGTCACACTGAAGTATGAGACGACAAATGCGGGGTAGCGCTCACGAATACCAGATATTTAAATATGTTGACCTGTTATGGTATACAGCGAAATTTCACGCAACGATCACATAATTTAGAGAACAAAGATGATGGGATTGCAAATTCGTCTCTAGAAAAACCTGCGCATTGCCGCTAAAATCTTTAACAGAGTGTTAAATAATTTTCAAAAACAGACTGGAGAAGAACAATCTAAAATTTAAAAAAGTTCTCAACAATGATTGAGATGAATGAAAATAGGAATCACGAAGAATTCATCCAAATTCCAGTTAAAATTAAAAGTTGGACCCCATTACTACTACAGTATTCAATGGGTTCTAAAAAGTTGGATATAGGGTAATTTAATGTAGAGTCAAAGGTATTTCAAGGTGTTTACTTGTTTTACTTTTACCAAGTTACAACAATGTAGCAATACAAAAATTTCAATCATATTTTTACTATAATTGTTGGAACTGGATCTTTATTATATTTCTTCATAAATAATAGTTATTAAAAACTTTTCGAATTTACCCCCAACTTGGGTATGAAAAGTGAAGTAGAGATAGAAGTATAAAAGCAGCTAAGAGTATGCAACAATAAAATGTTATGTGTTTTTCTAACATTTTTTTTTCATTATGAAAAAAAAAAATAATTTACCTATAAGTACGTATTTTCCGAAATGTAGACTCGAAAGTATGAGTAATACATACTATATAGTATACTATTATAATATAGGTAGGAAGACACTAATGTGCATGATCCATGCAAGAAAACGTTTGCCTTAATCTGTACCCCAGCGCTCCGAGTCAAAAGCTAACGCAAATAATTTAAGATCGTCATTGTGATAACTTTAAATAGAGATAGCAAAACGTATTTACCTCATGATCGAAAAGCCTGCTCGTCCTGTGATTGTTCATTTTTCTTACTCAGTAATAGAATCTACTTTAATTTGTTGTAAAAAAAAACCTGATATTTTAAAAAAATTTTAAATAATGCGCAGATGGCGTCTCAAACATCCTGTTGTGTACAGCTATATGTTATTTTGATGACTTATACCAGTTAAGGAATTAAGATATTTGCATTTAGATATTAACAATTCGTAACGCAATCAATTAAGATTCATTGAAAAATCTGATGAGACACTAATTTGTACTTATTAATATGTTTGTGTGTGTGTCGAAGAATCTACAATTGTATAACTTAAAATCAAGCCAAATAAATAAATATACTCTGTTAAGAATACAACATGATTTAGTGATATAATATGCATATGATATCGAGTCTGCAGGGAAAGACGACCTAGTAAAGATCTACAGTATACATTTTAAATAGTAAGCTAACATTTCCTTTCGAGTGATGAACCCATAAAATTTAATATGCCTGTGTTGATGATTTAAAATTTAAGGTGTACTTAAAGCCAACATCTCAACATCACCGGTGTGGTGAATCAACTTTTGAGTATGTTATTCTGATTGGTGGTGGTACGTATTCGCCACAGTTGCATTTTTTCGTACTGACAAAATCAAATGAGCCAATCCTAGCATGACACAGAGGACAGTACAACTTGCCTTTTATCCAATTTTCCTGTAAAAAAGATTTAAAAAAAATATCATTAGTAACATAATTATTTGTGTAAAAACAAGTATAGCCATAGATTTGTAGACACATCCACACTGTGAACACTCCTAATTACTCACCCTATCAACGACCTCTTGAACCCAATCGGGCATGTTTTCCTCGGCAAGAAAAAGACACTCCTCGGGCACATCACTGTTGCACTTGGTGCTGCGTTCTCCAGCCTTGATCAATTGTCCGTGGCTGTCAAGGGGTGGTGAGGCTTCCTCGGTAAATAGCAAGCTACGGCATCGCTTGCATTTTATTTGGGTGATCTACAAATCAAGAAAAACAAACGCAAAAGCTTGTATCTATATATTTATACGTACTTTTTTCATTCTCGTTTTTTATAACAAAAGCACCTCTCAATCTCGTCAATCCTCTCATACTTTATACGCAATATGTTTTGCGTATGCTATATATATATATATATATACGTCATAGGTGTGGATAAATGTAAAGGAATATGAGCCCGATTCAAGGTGTAAAAACGACAACAATAGAAAACACAAAAGCATTCTCTCTCTGCATAAGTACATACACCTACTTATATCGCGCTACTTATTTGTCGCGTAACGGTCATCTACATAAACATAAGAGAATATACTTGCATGTATGTACACATATCCGTGCATATTTTTAAGTTCCCGCGAATTTCCCTTATATTTTTTGACGTTTTGTTTTTTTTTTTTTTTTTTGGAGCAAACGTACATGTATATAGGTATATCTAAGTAGCACTCGATCAGCTGATGACGCGATTTGCAACGTATCGAAACCGAGCAAAGTTATCGTTGTGGTAACTTAAATACTTGTGACATTCCACGGAGCGAAAGATTTTTTTTTTTTGTTGCAAGCTCCTATTAAACGTTTTTCAAGGCGATGAAAAAACATTTTTTTGGACACAAAAACGCGCGTAGTGGAAAATGTTGGAATTACTTTGCACTATCGTATGCTTAAAAGTGTTTATCTAGGAATGTATATAAGTATACGTAATAAAATTTTATAGACAGGGGGCCTTGGTAACAACCTAGTTTACTGTCGCGAGTCTACTCACTTTGGCGGGCATATTCTCGGCGCGTGTTTATTTATATATGCAACACACACCAACACACACTGCAACGTCAAGATTACGTTTGTGGATATAAGCAATTCACGGCCTCCTCTTCGCCCTCGGGCTCATTTGCACTGCTGATGTTTACACTCGTGCTCCTTTCCTTACGATATCCTCCCCCGTTTGTTGTGTCAACCAAATGTACACTGGATTTGCATGCTAGTAGCTGCAGGCTGTGAGCTAGTATATAGGTGAGCTATGGACCACATCAGCTGATTTCTCTTTTGCCATCAGGATTTGTAATTTTTATTTGTGAATAGGGCAATTGAAAAGGAGAGCTCTCTTGTGGGAGTTACACTGCGCGAGAGCCGTAAACTGGGGGGAGCGCAACGCAACAACTAAGACTATCTTAAGATCAGAGAGCAATAGAGCATCAGAGCTCAGAGAGAGAGAGCATCAGAGCTCAGAGAGAGAGAGCATCAGATAGGTATATCCATAGTACACAGCCTTTTTGTGCCTGTTTTGTTGTGTAACGTGTATATATGCGCACTTTGCAACATATCTATGTTGATGTTGATATATGCAATAATATGTACACGTTAATATGCGTAAATGCAATGCGCAACACACTTTTTCAGTTTTTCTCTCTTGTTTCTTGTTTTTATTGTTGCTGCGAAAATGAGCGCGAAATTACAGTAGCGAGCGCTAAATTTGAATTTGCGCGAGTTTTATAAATTACGGTTGTGTTTGAAGAACGAAGAGAGAAATGGAGCCGAAAAAAAGCCAAGTGAAGTTTGAAACTTTGTTTTACTTTGGAGTGTGGATCGCGGCAGTGCTTTATTCGATCTATCGTGTTTATTTGGCCACTGATAAATGTAAGTTTTCCTTTATCATTTTTGTACAATTTATTTCATTTTTTAAAGTGAAAACAGTGTGTTGTTTTTGTCGTTACAGTTTTTTACAACTACTATGATGCCTACAATGACTTCAGTCCTGGCTGGTCTTTTCTTAACAGAAAGCTTGATAGTTCCGATGAAGAGTGGAAGATGTGGATACCACTTATTTACAGACTAGTGCCTTGGATCATTGTGCATATAATTATGAGTCAATGTATAAAACACTTTCATCACAATACAGTGAGAATGTCATTTATCTTGTGATGATCTAACTGTGGCATCTACAAAATGAAGATTAATTTTTTTTACTATTTCAGACTTTGTTATGTGGCTGGTATGTGACGATATCGATTACATTTTTGTGGCATTATTTAGGATTTTTGAGTACTCTGTGTACACTTTTACTTCCTTTTGTATCTTGTCTATTGACTTCGCTCGAAAGTAAAACAGTTTCATGGCTTGTGCATTCCATTACTTTAGCTCTGATATACTGGGCAAAAGTATCAGATATTGTGTTTAGAGAATGGTTAGATCTCAATGATGAAGACTATTTTCTCTTGACTACTGCCATTTGTTGGATTCAACTTAGAAGTATCAGTTATAGTTTAGACAGCATTAATAGTTACAAGCACATCCATGTTTATGGATTTTTTAAAGATTTGATTCAGAATATAGCGTATTGCTTGTATTTACCAACCCTTTTTTTGGGACCAATTATTCTTTATCATCAGTTTACAGATGGTGTAAGTGTTCTTAGTCGTGGTTAATGAGCTTTTTGAAAGCTGTATTATTAATGTTAAACATTTTTAGATAAGAAAGCCATTCACTAGATGGGGTAAAGAAAAGCTACAGAGAACAATTTTGAATCTAGTTCGTTATACATTTTGGATGTATTTCACAGAATTATCTTTGCACTTTTTATACTTTAATGCATTAAGATTTCACCCCGAAGCTGTGATAAAACTGGAACCATGGGAATTTTATGGATTTGGTTATTGCATGGGACAGTACTTTTTAAACAAATATGTAGTCACGTATGGACTGACATCAACTGTATGTAGAGCTGAAGATATTGATGCACCTCCTCAGCCTAAGTGTATTGGTAGAATACATTTGTACTCAGATATGTGGAAACATTTTGATAGAGGACTGTATAAATTTCTTTTGAGGTAATTAAAAACTAAATTTATGGGCCAGTTGACACTCTCTAAAACTTTTTTGTAAATATTTTCAGGTATATTTATATTCCGTGTAGCCCAAGGACATCGTTTAGGAAAATATTTGCTTCAGCATTATGTTTTATTTTTATATATCTCTGGCATGGCATGCATTTGTATATATTCATATGGTCGTTTTTGAATTTCACAGGAGTTTTAATAGAAAACATAGCGAAATCAAGTAGTAAATACTTATATAAAAATATTTTACACGACTCTTTAAATGATATAAACAAAAGAAGATTAGAATGTTTGTTTGCAACTCCTCTGTTGATACTATCTGCCATTTCAAATTTTTATTTTTTTGCTGATGAAGAAATTGGACACATATACATGCGAAAAATTTTTCAAGGTAAATAATTTAAAATAATTAAATTTTGATGGTAATTTTAATTACATTAAATTAATATTAATTACAGAGACTTGGAAAGTTTATGTGATGCTACTTTTTGCTTTGTACTGCTGTTGCCAAACATCTACAGAAATTAAAAAAATGGAAGAGTATTCTGTAAAAACAAGAAAGCCTTTAAAATTAAAACAATAAGAAAGTAAAAAAAACATGTACATTCTACCTGTATTTTCACTATAAAATAATATAAAGAACTGAGTGTAACTTAAGGACTGAATCAAATTGAAATAAATAAACAAGTAAATTGTTATTCACGATATAATTTTATGGATATAAGTACAAAATATGTATAAAAATACAATAACTACATACTTTTATCATAAAAAGCTATAAATCGATACTTACACATTTCTTAGATGTAATAAATATGTGACTTAAATGTATTCTGATAATAGTTTTTACTTATAATTTTGCAATGATAACACCAAATCAGTTTCACAATTGCTTCTTGTTAGATTATCATAAGGCACATTACATGTGTATTACAAAAAAGCATTTTAATTTATCAAACATTACAAGGAATGAAATTTAAGCATATCCACGGAAAAAAGCATTTTACTTCCTTGAATTTCAAATTATTAATAAGTTTTCACGAAAATAGCTTAGGTATTTATAAATATGTTTATACATGTACGAATAAAAGTTTTTACGTTCGTTGTTTAATTATTTTGCAACCAACCAAAATAACTCCACAATCATTATGTACATTAAATTTTTTTAATATTTTTTTTTCATCACGTAAATACATTTTTTATTCGTATTTATCATTAAAAAAAAATTGAAAATTGAGATGTAGACTTCTTTTGTCAATTAACCGATTTCTTCCACAGCTCTGGAATTGGAAGACAAATTTGAGCCATCAGAACTATTTATCATGAATGTAAAATATAAATCTAAATAATATATTTATTTGAAAACAAAACGTAAACTATATTGAAAATAAATGTCGCAAAATTTTGTCTTTGGATTATTTATATAAGTGTCTGATTATCAAATATTAAACTTTGAAAAATATATATAGAAACAACTTCGTCACGTGAGGCAAGTTCAATCATAGGAGGACTTGCAGTCACGGATATTAAAAATTTTACCATCCACTTACTGCACTATGGATTCTGTAATTACAGATTGTACAGACAGTGGCTTTGATTCTTGGACAGCACTGACTACACTTAGTAGATCATTATCCTCACTAGACAAAAGCAAAAATGTTTGCTGTTTACCGTTCTGAATGAGATTAATACTCTGCGTTTTATTACCAAACAAAGTAAGGTTGCTATTCTTTATCAACTGCAAAGTCGCTTTGCCATTACTTTCACAAACCTTCACCTGACAGGGTATTAATATTTTTTGCCCGGAATTTTCCATTTCCGTCTCCATTGGTAGATCTTCGGCCATTATTGAATCTTGATCATCCGTTTGAACTTCCACAGTTGAAGAAGGCACCTCTTCAACTGTACTTGTAACTTCCTCAGACGCGACAACCTCTTGATTTTCAATAATGTAAACGTTTTCTGTCATATCTTCGTCTTCTGACTCAAAACCAGGCTCAATGGCTTCTGTGTAATTTTCGACACACTCATCAAATGAAACAATTGTCTCCTCGTGATGTTCGTACTCGTCTTCTCTGTTAGCACTTTCGGTCACGTCTGAGCAAACCTCCTCCTCAGGCAACTCTACTGAAGACTCGTTTAAATACACCGTATCATCCTCTTCGAAAATCTCATTTTCGAAATGTAACTCGCCATTGGAATCGGTTTGTGCGATGACTACTTCATTCTCCGCAAAATTATGCTCTATCTCAGTCTCGTTAAATTCAGTCTTACAAATCGGTAGATGGTCGTCTTCGGTTTCCATCAGCGCGTACGTCTCCCCGTCGACGATTTCGGTTGACTGTTCATCTTCATATACGTATACATTAGTGATAAATTCATCCTCTCCGTTTGTAACAAATTGTTGTTCAATGTTGTCTAAATCAGTGGCAAATTCTTCTTGATGTGAATCGTCCTCATTATCAAATTCAGAGCTCAGATGCTCCTGTTTTAAAAATATTTGATTCACATGAGACGAAGTTGTTCCTTCAGTTGTTTGTTCATTTATTGCTTCATTTGTTTCTTCAGTTGTTTCGATTGGAGTCGAAGGTCTGATGGCAACTTCATTTTTAATGGGTTTTTTTCTTCGACTTTTAGGTTTTGGTCTTCTTGCTTCTTCTTCTGTAAGATGTATCAACTCGCCAGTTATCATGAGAACTTTGTTGTGACGAGTTTTCAAATGGCGTTTGTATGTGTTTCTCGTTTTAAATCTGTAAAATAATAATACATCAACAATTGATTTCACTAATGCCTATTGGATAAATAGAAAATTATGCATTCAATCTATTACCTTTGACCACAGTCCGCGCATTCAAACGGTGACTCTCCGGTGTGTCTTCTGCGATGTTCGCGAAAGTGTGACGGATGCCGAAACTTTTTGCCGCAGTCTGCACAGGTGAAACGAGTCAGGTTGCTGTGTATCAACATATGATACTTGAGACTGTGTCGACGTGTGAACATTGCATTACAGATTTCACAGGTGAAGGGCTTGATGTTGGCGTGACTACGAAAGTGTGACAATAAAGTCGTCGGGGCTGTAAAGGTTCTAGGTGGATTGCAGATGTCACACATCAGCTCGTTGCCCGACGGATTGCCGTACTTTTTAATTTTTGCCATACGTTCAAGCGCCTTTGATCTCTCCTCTTCACTTGTGCCAATGAATTTTGCTTTACCTTTGGGCTTAGCAGGTAGTAGGAGGCTTGGTTGAGAAGGTGGATCTTCGCCGTAAAGAGTCATACCTATGCAAAATTACATTCACTTAAAAAAAAATTTTCACAAAACAACAAGCACTCAATAAGCAAAAAAAAAAAAAGATAAAAAAAAAGCTATTACTTGTCACTGATAAAACTTTCCGAACCATATTTGTATCATCAAATGAAAATAAGAAGAAATTCACTGACTTCGACATTCATACGCGACAATGAAAAATTACTTAACAATTGATGCTGTAACAACTATTATCTCATTCAGATGAATCAATACGAGTTTTACTTAATTACATGCAATCGGACAAAATACTAATTTGAAAATGGTAACTTACTTTCTGGCTGATCAGTATCGACATTTATATGATTTGCAATATCTTCTACTGTTGAACTAAGTGGCTCAGTCATAGGTGAGCCATTATTTTCAACCACCATTACCATGATCTGAAAATTATAAATAGAACGTTAGGTATTATATAATTTGGTAGACCTATCCTCTATTCGCCGCCTTACATGAGAATCTAGCCTAATGTGAAAATAGAGCGGCAATTCAAACTGTTGGCTTACAAAAAAAAAATAAAATGAATTTATACTTACATTTTCATTTGCAAGTGAATTAACAGATATCTTGTTAATGGTAGAAGTAGATTCATTATTTATTTTCTCCTCTTTTACATGGCCATGATAACTGTGATCCCTCAAAACTTTGGCATCGGAAATGTCTTTCTTCATTTCAGTTGTACAAGAATTTTGCACACTAACAACTTTCATATCTTGATTGGCATTGTTTTCCAATTCCTTTAAATTAACTTCAACAGACAGTCCTTTACGCGGAGTATTGTTCGTAGAGTTTCCCACTTTTGTTTCTTTATTTTCCTTGTTAAGATTCTCCTTGGGAGATTTCTTAGGTTGAGTTTTGCTTTTTTTAGTTTGTGGGGTTGATTTTGGTTTGAGCTGTGTTACAGGAGTTACCGTAAAATTGGCACCTGCAGGAAACATTAATATAAAACAAAAATTGTAATTGAAACAATGATACTTTTTCTTTCAATCTGAAATTTGACGAAAAAAAATTTTTGCAAAAATAAATTTACGCACAATCGCAACTGTTCATGTTACTTCTCCAGTGCTCCAAGTGCTCGGCAAGATGCTGTTGGATGTTAAGCTTAGCCTTGGCGTCGCTGGCAAAGCTCGAAAAGATACCATCGCAGCCGGGAATAAGAGCGCAGGCGTACGAATACTGTTTCTTAAGCTCATCGCCACTAAACACGGTAAAGAGCTTGATCAACTGACCAGCAGGCATGGTCAGCAGTTGGGCTATGGTGTACGATTGCGCCGGTTGATTGTTATTCTTGCGCTTGGGCTCCTTGGCCTTTTTTTTCTTTGCATCCAACTCGTCTTTTTTGGTCTCAGAATGCAATGTTTGCGAGGCCACCTCGGCCAACATGCCCAACATGTCTGGATTTTTTACGTCAGCTAGAGAGAGAGAAAAAAAAAAGAAATCATCAATTATTATTTTTTTTTTGTATTGATTTTCTGGTTTTTGTGATGTAAATATTTGGATGTCCTATTTATTTATGCTCAACGAGAAAAAGAAAAAATAAATACGATTCTCCAGTTTGTTTGCGCATAGCTCGCGTATTTACATCGATAAATAATTATCGAAAAAAGGAAAAACAATAACAAAACACGGCCTTCAAACATAGAGAGGAGACGCAGAGAAAAACTCTCTATAGTGGAAGGGAGAGTAAAACAAATCCCGCGCCTCAAGTTGGAACGGATGATTATAAGATTCAATATATATTTCGCAGAAATTTTGGAGAAATAAACAAAGCGATGCAATCAAATAGCGAAAAAAGAATTTTATGTTGGTAAGGGGGTTGGTTGGGTTGGAGGGGGATAAAGATGGAGAATACAATTTCCAAGCCAAATATGATGATCGAGCTTCTTTCTCCGCGCACTTGACAGTAGAAAGAGAGAGAGAAGAAAAAGTGTGAGAGAGGGGGCACCGATGGCAGACGAAAAAAACGGAGGGACGGCAATGTGTGTATACACACACACACATATATATATGTATACATACAAAAGACTCTCTCCGCTGCTACACACATATATATATGAATACGAGCAGAAGATGTAATACTTGACAATGCACAATGAAAGTAAAAAAAAAATGATGCAAATAACATGAAGTATCGAGATTAATGCTTAGTTATTTACAGCAGACTGGCAACCGATACTTGATATTGTTGAGCTTGATCACCGCATAACACACATCGTCATCGTTGTCAGAAGCGGGGTTCTCGTCGTCGTTGTCCACTTGTTGCTCGCTGCAATGCCGGCCGTCATTGGGCTCTTGCTTCGGTTGCAGTACTTTACCAAGTCTCCCGGTATTATCTTCATCGTGCCTCTGGCGCTCCATCATCGCTTCCTCGAATAATATATGTATCTCTACCTAATCTGAACTTTGGGAAATTTGCAAGGCTTTCATATGCAACTCCGTCTAGTTGTGTACAGAGTTTTAACCCCCGTACACACGATGCAGAGTTAAATATTTGACGCTTCACTAGGCCATTTCTTCACTCGCGCGCGAACTGCGAAGACGACGAGGAACAACGAGAAGAGAGACACAAACAACTATATCACGCACGCATGGTTCTTACATGCAGCAGTCGCGATACACCGCGCGAAAGTCAGCGTAGCAGCCTATATATAGCAACAAGACGACAACTCGGTGTATATAGGTATATACATAACAGTGAAGAAGAAGAAAAAGGAGGGCCGGCGCGCGCGCGCGCACACGCGAGATGTGTACCTACAACTTTTATTATATACTTATTCGCAGTAAGTAACGAAAACAAAAAAAATATGTGTGGATCTTACTTGTACTTGAGACTTGAGACGCGAATGGAATTGGTGTTGCTGGTGCCCAATTCAACCTGATGGGCACACAAGTTTTCGCATTTCAGATTGCAGATCATCACAAGTGTAACATCAACTCTCTGCAATTTTATAATCGTTAAAATAAAATTCTTAAGTCCCGCTCACGATGACGACAACGCCTGCTCTGTTAAAATGCGTGTGTGTAAGTATATGTACGCCGCGCGACGAAAATGATCTTCTATAGGCGGAAAATCTCCCTCTGCTGAAGCAGAGTAACATGTACTCATTCGTGGAAATCATGGATTTCTACTGACGTATAGAGTAGTTTTTTTTGACAGCTTGTATACATGTTTGTGAAGGTATAATGTACGAACGCAGGTACAGACACTACAGTCTTGTAACCAGGTCTCCCTTCAATTATTTTCTGTTTATAGTTCATGAGCTGTGTATGTAATACCTATATGTATATAATATACACTTGATTTGCTCAAATTTACAATGTTGCCGACAATGGACTGACGACATTGATGGAAGTCGATTTGAGACATTAGCTGGATAATTTTTAAAAGGAGGAAAAAGAATTAGTTCTTCCTTGCCGTGTATGCCATCGCTATCTACGCACATATATTATGCACTAAAAGTTATGAAGTATATGTGTGTATAGTGTACATTCCCTTGTGGTTAGTACACTTTAAAAAAAAATGCGCGTATATATATACATATATATACACGTGAAACTTGAAATCAACAAAAAGCTTCCTAGCAGACGCCATCGGGGAGTCACCGCTCCGGCAGCAGACGGATATTTGAAGTAAACAACGAGCGTCGTCGTAAAAACTGCACTTTGCAGCAGCACTGCATTGCAGCAACGCGCGGTTGTTGTCTGTCGCCGTGCTCTCCCGCTTGCGCTCTCTCTCTCTCTGTCTCTCTCTCGATGGCTGCTCCGTTTTTCCGCAAAATTCACCCATCAATACCATACTCGTATACGCGATCTATTCCCGCGAGGTAACACGACAATAAACAACGACATCCAGTATAGGATCAAATACGATTTAGCTTACCTGCGTCATCGCTGTTGAAGTTGCTGGTTGTTTCGTCGCTCATTTTGGACGTTCGGTTGGCAGCAGCAGCAGTAGCAGCTCGAGTCGTCGACTGGAACATGGAGAAGCAAAACGAAAAAGATATTCACTTCACCGAGAGAGAGAGAGAGAGAGAGAGAGAGAGAGAAAGAGGGGCACCACCGCGTGGTAAGCTGCTGCTGTTGCTTGCTGAAAGACACTCCGATGGCTCTCTCACTCTACAGCTCTGCTGTCTCTCTCTCCCCTTCAGTTTTATGGCAGAAAAATAATAATAAGTACAGCTCGCGCGCCGACATTATAATATTTCTTTATGTCCATCGGTCAAATGTATACCTTATATACACATATGAATATGCGGGTCGCGCACCACTGCTTTATCTTATGTATACGCGACAGAGTAACGATACATTACTAGTATAATTGGTCTGTAACATGTAAAATGAACGTTGGACGCGAAGTTCCCGCTTGTTTTCTTAACTTTTTCGGAGCAATCTGAGCAGTGTGTGCAGACGATCACGGCGTTCGTCGTTGCTTTCTCGGTATCCGGGCGATATGAGGAAAAGCGCATGCGAAAGAGCAGCTTCTCTGCTCTATCGAGTCTATACACGTCCATTCAATGCGGCGTGCTCGACCCCGGCACTGTGCGCGTGTAACACAGGTATATCATACATGCGTATAGGTAGGGGGTACATATAGGTATATTTACAAGACCACTCACTGACGGAGTCAGTACCTCCAGGTCGTACCATCTACTTTGTCATGGCATTGCATGTGCATTTGTGGCACAGAGAATTGAATTGTCGATATCTCTCGCTCTCCGTCATCCCTACCGACAGTACCGATTACATGCGTCCACAAATAAGAATGATATTAAAAGAAAGAAAAAAAAAGGAGATGTAAACGACATTTTTCGTTGCGCATCCCTTGACATGATCCAGCGATAAAAAAAAAAAGACGATTGCCCGATTATCGTCTATCACTCTCGATTCTCGGGTCTCGGTCATAAAGTACCTCGGACTTCGCACTCCTTCCTCTGTCAAATCAAATACTATACCTGCGTGAATTTTAGGAAGAACTGCGCTCAAGAAACAAAAAAAAATAATTTACTCTTTTCAATTCACAAATTATCTTCCAGCTATACTAAATACACAGATAATTGTTTACGCGAAAAAAGAAAAAAGAAAATTAACTGGAACAAAACTAATTTGAGAACTCAAAAAAGCGATAGATGTATGAATTATTTGTTTGTAAAACCGAATGCTACTCTCTATGAAAATAGTGTATTCATTATCATTACATGAGTACATGGTTTATCTTTTACTTATTTATGTTTTATTGTTTGCTAGTTTTTCCGAGTTCAAATGTATGAGTATAAGAATATAAAAAAATTTTCCTGGAAAGTGAAAAAATTTTTTTTTTTTTTTTTTAATCTTACCCAGATCGTTTCATGTTGTACACTTGGGATCCGCGATTATCCTAACTTTTGAAAAAGAAAAAAAAAATTGCAAGTTTGCGTATCTATAACTATATATATCCTTACATTACCGATATATATATGTTGATTTGTCGAGCAACCACATGCATATACACACACCGCAATATCAGATGCCTACAGCTGATGTATTCATTGGCCGGCCATAGTAAACAAACACTCACGGTATAACCTCATGTGTGTCAGACAGATTATCTTTATTTATATTAATTTTACATAACTTCTAAACAAAATGAGGTTATCGCAAATACTGTATAAGCAACACATTGGTCGTCAAACGCGACTCATGTGGTATTTACAGGGTAAAAGAACCCCTGTAGAGACTTTAACAGAAAAGACTTTGGCTGCAAAAGGAATTCAAGTATTAGACCCAGAAGATGTATTGAAAAAACCACATGGCAAGCCTAAATTCGAGTAAAAACTTGTTATGAGTATTTCAAAAGTGTATTGTTTAATCTTTACTATGAGCTGAGATTTTAGATGTATTGATTTATGTGTTTGTTTTTAGCTTTACATCATTGAATCTTTTGGAGAAGAGACCACCAACTCGTGATAAAAACCATCCAGATTGGCATGACAGACCGTGTTTGACTTACAAAGATAATGATTTGTTGACATTAGGACTGCCACAAGCTCAAGACATAACTAAAACTGTTGTCTTTGAAAATCAGCTGCCCGAAGCTGTGGAATCACTAATAGAAGATATCCCAGAAGAGTATCATAATTTAGCCCAAAAGTATGTTGCAAAATAAATTTTTTCACAATATTTTAACTTGATACCATACAAAAATGTCATACTTTACAACACCCAACAACTGATTTTATTTCAGAACAATAAAAACGTCTGTTATATTTGATGCTCATCAAGAACTATTACCTAAAGTCAAAGACCCTAACAGACCAGCCTTTAATTTTCCAAGATTAATGGGAATAACAGATGTTAGAAAAATGTAGGTTGTACATTTTAACTACCCAAGATTAAATTTATCACATAATTATTTTTTTTTCAGAAGCAATTTAAGTAAAAAATTAATCCAACTTTGTGAGTGCATAAATGGACCAGAAGTTTCAGAAACTAGAAGTATGCTAGATAATGTCTTATTGAGTTTTCCTTTTGGTAAGATTAGATGATTTTGAATAAGTTTGTTTTTTCACATAGAAAATTACTGAGTATTGAATTTAATTACTTCAGAAAGAGAATTCGATTTGCATCAGTTTGTATTGACAATGGATATGATGTTGATGTGTGAAAAACCTCTGACACCAAGTGGACATTTCAATGAAGAAGTTATCAATAGTATGGAAATTCCAAATTTACACCCCCTACATTGTTCTATTGGTCTTGATGAAGAAAACATATACAAGCTAAATAATTTTCATCGTAAGTATTCTCACAAGTGAAGTTTAAATTATTAAAGTAACAGGTTTGAGAATTCATGGACATTAATTTTTTTTTCTTTCAGCATTAGTCTCAGGATACCACAAGAGTCATATACATACCATCATTGCATACTATGATCCATCAAAAGTTAAACACAAGTCAGAATTATCATCCACAGAATCTCAAACACTTGGTAGAGCTTTACTTAAAGCGTTCACTGCTGCTGCAAGCTCAGCTAGACAAAGGTTTGGTCTGGATGTAAAAGAACTTCCTGAACCAATTACTGTACAGTGCATTCATTCAGATGGAAAATGGTTTTATTTTTCTGTTTATCAGTTAAATACTTTGGATATTGAAGGGAAAAACGGTATTAAAAACTACTATTGGATGCTGCCAAAACTTGATCTTTATAAAGTAGGTGGTTATGTTAGAGGAACACCCGTTCTGGAGGGTTACAACCCAGAAGTACTAAAAACAATGTTAGCTTTTTACAGAAATAATTGATACTTTTTTAAAAATGCGAGCGAAACTTTATGTAAATCAAACATCCTAGAATAGATACTTCACATATTATAATCAATATCAAAATGAACTTATTTGTTAATATCCTCTTCCTCATAGCATTCATGATCTTCCTGGATCTGTCTAATTCCTGATCCGTGTCAGTCAGTCTTGACTTTGCCTGAAGCAATGTTTCTCTCTGACTACCCAATTCGGAAATCACCTCTGTCCCTATCTGTTCTGTCTCAATAGCCACTGCATGGGATTTAATCACCGATTGATTAGAGCGTTGAATTGCAGCTCGACTGTCAAACAGTACGCGCCGCTGTGCGTCATCACTCTGCATTTTTGCAAAAAAAATGGTCTGCTATATCATTTAATGAATTAAATGGATCCAATTTGGACAGCTCTGGAAAGTGAAAAAATAATGGCACTTATACATTTTCAACTTAATTTGTACAACAAAAGAGTATTGATCGATTACAATAAAACAAATATGTCAACTTACAATTACCCATCAAAGAAAAAATTTACGCCCCATTTTTCGGCAGGCTGTCATATACCCTTAGTTGTATTATCACTGTTCTTTACTGACATAAATATAACCTCTTCCAAATTGACAGACAAGTATTGGTGTAAGTATTAAGCAAAAATAAGGTATGAGGTATGAGGATGTATCATCCTCATATCTGCGACGTCACCAAATAAAGTGACCGAATGTGACTCAGAAAGTCATGCAGAAGAGTACATAAAGAATAATACACATACACACACATTATACAAAAGAATCAGGGAAGTTGTACGGTCAAAGATTAATGACGTCATTCTTGTCAGAAGTATTTTTAATTATTTGCAAGATAATTTCATGGAGAACCTTAATTACATTTTTTGTTTGGATTTTTAATGAGTCAATACATTTAATTTTTTGAAATCAACTTTAATCCATTTTTATTGATTCATTTGGCCTTTAAATAAATTGGTAGTCAATGTAAGCTGTTCAGCTTGTTATATACAAATCTCTAATATTCATTATTTAAAACAATAAAGATGTGAATGGACCTTCTCTAACAAGAGTTTTTTTTCTCACCATCTGATGTCAAGACTAGGAAAATCAATAACATTGAGACATTGTTTATGCAAATATAATTTATTTGGATAAATTTTCCTTTAGGCTAATAAATCTGGAATCGAATAACTTAGAACGACAATATGTTGTGCCCCGCGAAGGTTTGAGGCTCTGACTTTGATGAGGTCATGAGGAGCAGTATGCCATTTTATTTATATTTACACTGATTGAAAAGAATTCCAGTGGTATATTTTCTTATAAATACATGGTAAAAATTAGAAAATCAAATATTTACATTAATTTTCCTTATCTGATCTACTTTTATCACCTGACTGGTTACTATCAGATAGATTAATGTCTATGTTCTTCTTACTATCGGTAATATCCTTTTCAACTTTTGTTTCTTTTTCAGTATCACTATCGTCAGAAGAATCAAGATCAGAAAGATCAATGTCATCGTCCAAGTCCAAAATGGTTTTCATTTTTTTCTTGGGATTTGTTGTTGTCGGTTGATCTGCCAATCTTTTCACAGCTAAAGTAGATGCAGCTGCAAAACCAATTTCTACAGCCTCCTCTACTCTTTCGGTCAAAACTGAACGCTGTTGATCATAAGCCTTGTCTTTGAATTCATGTTTTGGCTGAGCACAGAGTTTTTCGAGTTTCTTTTTTTTTCTCTCTGCAGCTTCCTCTTTTCTCTCCGATTGCTTCTCTATCCAAGCTTTTAATCTCTTTTCTTCATTAATATCTCTCAATCTGCGACCACTCAGATCTCTGCAGGCCTCTCTATTTGTAGTTTTCTCAATTTGAGCACCAATGGCTCTGAGCATAGATCCAAAACCACCTTTGCCTCCACATAATTTTGGCACCAGCAACAAGTCTCCATTGGTGATGATTTCATTTGTTTCTATCAAACGCCCATTATTCTTTAAGAAAAAATTGTGACTTGCAGCTCCCTGTGAACACGTAATAATCATATTTGTTGTCATCAATTGTTACAAAATAAAATTCATACAAGGTAGTACATTTTTACTTACTAGTGTGTTTTGTACTCGTTCTATCAGCTGTTTGCCACTAATTGGAAGAAAAACTTCCATAGCTTTTGACTTTCCATAACAACCGTTATCCAGGTATATATTAAGCATTTTGCCTATGAGAATTCTTTCTTTTAAAGTATGTAATTTTTTCTCCGGACAAGTTTCTAGCGACTAGCTGATTTGTTATTGAATCGTTTAACTTTTTTTTTGTATTTAACTATAGACGTCAATGTTTGTCAACCCAGTACCCCAGTAGTTGAGTGTGTCACTGCAAATTGCAGTCTGCAATACTGCAATACACGCATATGCAGGTATACTATAGTACAAGTGTACAACAGTGCCAATGATATTTCATCGCAATAATGTATACTTGCAAGTGAAGCTGCGTATCTATAAAATTAAATGCGGCTGGTTTATAATTAATTACATGGCTCTAATACAAGTATATAGTAATAATTATTTGGATCAGCGCCATCTAGCGTTGCGAATTTCTGAACTAAAAAGTGGCCCTAAAATTCTGAACCTTCTAAATATTGTCAGCGAAACGTTGTGCATTAATAAATCAACGCAAGAAAATTTAAATACACTTTACTTGTATTTATTTATTTTCTCACATTTCGCCCCCAACGGATCACTGATCACTTTGAATTTCCATTGTCTGTACTATTTGCGGCAAGTTTACAATCTATCTTTATACCCGAGAATCGACCTCCAAAACCATAAATATTCTACTTATCTTATATGATGAGAAAAATGAATTCCACCTTTCTGCCGATATTCTATCACGACACGTTCTTATTTTTATGTACTATATATATATTGATAAATTGAGCCAAGCTATTTCACAACACTACCTATATATTACATGGGTATATTCCGTAAAGCAGTCATGGGTACACCGTAACCCAGTGGGTAATCTTATTTCTAATATTCTATTTTATTTATAATTTATTCTAATTTTCGCCCAGAGTCAGCGCCATCTAGCGGAGCTGGCATTTGAATTAAGTCACATTCGGGGAAATGACGGCAAAATAGTTGACTGCTCGTCTGCTCTGCACCAATCCCTTGCGTTTAATTATTTGTATACTTTGCTAAACGTTAGTCCATTTAATAATTATTTACCAACATGCCGTTTATGATAGGGAGGGAGCCTGTCAGGCGAACAATAAAGTATTTAGAAGCCGGAAGTTTGGTTCTAAAGGATGCCATTCAGATTTTCTCAATCAATTACAATACTCATGGCATTGCCAGCTCCGGAATAAGGTTAAAAAAAACTCAATTGTTGAGACATTTCATTTGTTATTGAATACATTAAAATTAAGAATATTTTTTTTAGAAATTTTATCTTTTGGCACTTACCACAGTTAATGTTTAAAAATCCTGATGTGCAAATTGTAACTATAAAGAACAGAACACCGACACCTTTTGTATGGTGCTTTTATGGTATGTATTTGAAAAAAAATTCTTGTATTGAATAATTTATGATTTAACAGGTTACTTAAAAAAAAATCTTTTAGATAATGGCAAAAGAATGTTAGTTGATGTTGATTCAAAAAACAAAGATGAAATATTGGATCACCTTATTAAGGTAGTTGGTAAATCTAAAGAAGTTTTGAAAAAAGAAGCCATAGCCAAAGAAAAGAAGGACAATCCAGCTAACTTTGGTGTTGGCTGCGAGAAAAATTGTGCTTGTATTATTCCAGGACAGTTGCCTTGTCCTGCTGTAGTTCCACTACCTTTCCATATGAGAGGGAAAACTTATCTCAACAAAGATTAATTTTTTACTAACTGTTTCTAAGAAAAATCATTGCAACTATACTGTAAATACATTAATTAGTGTAAAAAATATTTTTAGTTATCTAAAATAAAAGCTACATAGATAAGAAAAAATAAATAAATTTGTAACTCACGTATTAATTTTTATTGAACATATTAAAAAAATTACTCAATATATGAACATTTTTTACATAAAAAAAAATCACGTAATTATATTTATATTTAATATATGTACATATGTATAGTTAGTCATTCGTTTTGCTATTACTTACATATATACGTAATACTCCGAAGCAAGAGTTTAAAAAATAAATCATTTCATTTATAAGCCACTACGACAGTATATTACGCAGAATAATAATTGAATTGATGAAATAAAAATTTTCAGAACATTTGTTGTCTAATGGCTCACTGTTGTGCTTACAATTTATAATTTAATGAATGAAAATAAATACACATGAAACATGAATACTTTCTTATACAGATACACAGTATTAGTATCAGTTAAAAATATGATTATCTTCTTGGTCTCGTGCGACTATAAGGTTTTTTATGATGATAGCTTCCCCTACTGTGATGTCGCGTGGATGTAGCTGGTTTATTGTTATCCTGTTTTTGATATTGATATACCACAGAACTTCCTTCAAGTGGTTTATTCAATTGAAATTCTTCTTCTGACTCCTTCATCATCTTTAATTTTGCTTCAATAGCTTGTATAGCTGTTTCACGGCTGAAATCAATATCATTGATAAGATTTACTAAACTTAATTACAGAAGACTGTAAAATGTCAATTGCATTACCTTATTCTTACATCACTTTTTTTTGCACCAGCAAGTGCAGGAATTTCAATTTTAGGCTTTGGTTTATCTAGTTCAGCCTGAAAATCCCAAAAATATGAATGTTGAAAAAATGAAAAAGTGTATGAAGTAATGGGTACTATTGTTATATTGTACTTGAAAAATCTTACAAGATACATAAAATTAATTGTTAAAGTAAAGCATTCTTTGAATATTAGTTTACCTCATTGACACTGTGAGCATATCTAACTACGATATTTTTACACCCAACTTTAAGATTCTGTAGTGTTTCCATTGCGTTCTCGGCGTCATTTGCCGTTTTATACGTAACAAAAGCATATCCTCTTGGTAAACCAGCTTGTGGCCCAGATCGATGGAACAGCAGATCAAACTTTTCAATGTTTCCGTATTTTTGGACGAGTTTGAGGAATTGATACCAGTTGTGAAACACAATAATTAGATTTTGCAGACGAAAGACAATAGCAGCATTGAAATTTCACATGCCTGAAAATCAGTATATTCATACTTACTCATTAATTCTAAGATCAAGATTACCAATCCAGAGTCGCCTATCTTCGATGTTGTTGGATTTAATCGGTTCCAGAGGCAAAGGTATCTCGTTTTGCTGTAAATAAAAAGCCTGTCAAAGCCGTAAACCTAGCACGAATTTATTTGTAGACTTGCAATAGTCGGTATTCAGATGCCTTCTACTACTCTCAAACGTGTATTTGATTAATTGGAGATTCGTAAAAGTGAAAGGAAAACGATGAGGATTATTAGAATTACTAAAGGTGTATAGGCGGGTATAATATACTTAGTCATATACTACTCACCTCCATACTTATATGGAAGAATTTAATCTCTGGTATGAAAAATCCTTGAAGAGATTTTGCTTTCGAGTAATTATTCTATATTTGATTATTAAACAGGAATAGTAGTTATCACTCAACTGGATTGCATCTACTGAACAGTGTTTGTAATAGGTGTTTTATGCCTTCATTCTTCGCAGAAAAGCATTAGATTTTTGACAACAGCGAGTACAAATATCACGTACTCTGTCTTCAACTGACTCCTTCAAGTGACTGATGATGAATAACTAATGCAAAATACATCATGAATCACGGGACGAGGGAAAAGTAGACTATTCTGAGCTATTGGTACATGTATGTAGATATGTAGACATTTATAAACTGTGTAGTAGGTAGTAGGAGTAGGCTAGTAGGTAGTGCGAAAAGCGAGTTATATATATGTCAATAAATAAATGTAGCAATGTAGCATTCACAATCACAACACTACCTATATATTACATGGGTATATTCCGTAAAGCAGTCATGGGTACACCGTAACCCAGTGGGTAAGTAGGCAACGCTACTGGGTATTTTCCGCAATCGTCACCAGCAAGTAATTTAAGGTTGCGCTCTACGTTACCGTCAGGTTGGTAAGTCAACTACGTTGAATTAACTGGCGCTCTGTTCCGTAATCTGGCCAGTTAAAATAGCAGACGACAGTCAACAGCGATGAAATATATATATACTTTCATGAAAGTCAAGAAAAAAGTGAAGATTTCATCGCTGTTGACTGTCGTCTGCTATTTTAACTGGCCGCAAATTACGGAACAGAGCGCCAGTTAATTCAACGTAGTTGACTTACCAACCTGACGGTAACGTAGAGCGCAACCCACTATCACTTGCTGTTGACGATTGCGGAAAACAACCGATTTCTGCAGCATCCCGGAAGTCCCGGAGCAGCTGACGCATTTTTTGTGCAACACAACCAACTGACTATCGTAAGTTGCATATTACTTTTAAATATAAACTTATATTTTACATTTGTTTGATAAAAAATATTTAAATATAGCTTAACTTGAGTTAATTTTTTTTTTACCTAAAGAAAGTTTCGTTTTAAAATATTTGTGCACGTGCAAGGCATTTTCTGATGCAATTTTCAATTGTTTTACTTGCAGTAAAACTTTGTTTATGAATTTTGATTTAATGCATTAAAAAAAATGATAGCCATCATTACACAAGAATAAAGCATTACTGTTATCTACAACGTTAAATGTAGAGTGCATGAACTCCCAGTACTACACATATGTTGGTATTTTTGGTTACAGAATAATCATTAAAAATGACTGTAAACAAAACAGCTAAGGAAATTCGGCAAGCTTACATTGACTTTTTCAAGTCAAAAGACCATGAATATGTACATTCTAGCTCAACAGTTCCTCATGATGATCCTACATTGCTATTCACCAATGCTGGCATGAACCAGGTATATCTAATTTTACAAGATTTTCTTATTTTGTATCCATACTTGTGATGCATTAAAAATTGATTTTATGTTTTTTACATTTAGTTCAAACCTATTTTCTTGGGAACAGTTGACCCAAACAGTGATATGGCCAAATGGGTAAGGGTAGTTAATTCACAGAAATGCATTCGAGCTGGAGGAAAACATAATGATCTGGATGATGTAGGCAAAGATGTTTATCATCATACGTTTTTTGAGATGATGGGAAACTGGTCTTTTTGAGATTATTTCAAGGTTAATTTTTATCAGCTGTTTGTTTACTAGCATGCATTAAACGTTTTTTTGTATAATTTGAATTTTTTCGCCACTTTAGAAACAAATATGTATATGGGCTTGGGAATTTTTGACTGATATCCCAAAATTGCCGTAGAATCAGCTTTATGTCACCTATTTTGGTAGGAATAAGAAAGCTAATTTAAAACCAGATGATGAGTGTAAAGATCTTTGGTTATCCCTTAGGTCAATAATACTATTTGTGTTTAATTAATTCTTGAATGTTTTGAAAATGAAACTATACAAATTAATCTTCTTATAGTATACCTGATAGTAACGTGCTACCGAGTTACGTGAAGGATAACTTTTGGAAGATGGGTGAAACTGGTCCATGTGGTCCTTGCAGCGAATTGCATTTTGACAGAATTGGAGGTAGGGATGCTGCTCACTTGGTCAACATGGATGATCCAGATGTCTTGGAAATTTGGAACTTGGTTTTTATACAATTTAATAGGTAAGAATTTAGCTATTTTTTTTTTAAGTATACAGTTATTTTGACAGAATTACATAGATTTATCGTGTTTCAGAGAAAGAAGCGGAGAACTGCACCCACTTCCTAAAAAGCATATCGACTGTGGTTTAGGTTTAGAACGTCTCGTGTCTGTGATACAAAACAAACGCTCAAACTATGACACCGATTTATTTTTGCCACTTTTCGAGGCAATTCATAAAGGCACCAATGCTCCCGTCTATCAGGGTAGGGTGGGAAGTGACGACAAAGATGGTATCGACATGGCATATCGAGTACTTGCCGATCACGCGAGAACTATTACTATTGCTCTAGCTGATGGTGGAGTTCCTGATAATACTGGTAGAGGGTAGGCTTTGTTGAGAATCAAAACTTGAATAATACCATCAAATTGAATGTTCTAAAATATTTTTTTGTATTATAAACAGATACGTTGTAAGAAGAATTTTGAGACGTGCTGTGAGATACGCGACCGAAAAACTGAACGCTAAGCCTGGATTTTTTGCCACTCTCGTTAATGTAGTCGTAGAACTTCTTGGCGATATTTTCCCGGAAGTCAAAAGGGATCCGCAGTCTATTATTGACGTGATAAATGAAGAAGAAACTCAATTTTTGAAAACATTAACCAGAGGTCGCAATTTACTAAATAGAACCATCGCAAAACTGGAATCGACACAAATTGTACCAGGTGACGTTGCGTGGCGCTTGTATGACACTTACGGATTCCCCGTTGACTTGACTCAACTTATGGCTGAAGAAAAAGGACTCACGATAGATGTAGTTGGCTACGAAGAAGCTAAGAAGCAAGCTATTGTGAGCATTCGATTATCTTCTACCAAATACTTCAAAATTTACTTTAACAATCAAACAATTTGTACATTTTTCAGATCGCTTCACAAGGCAAGGCTGGTGGCGTGAATGATCAGATAAATTTAGATGTGCATGCTATCACGGAATTGCAGAATAGAGGCATTAAAACTACTGATGATTCTTACAAATACAATTATAAAAGCGAGTCATCCGAAAAGTACGCAGAGTACAGTTTTTCTCCGTGCATTGGTACCGTCGTTGCTTTACGCAAGGACAAGAAGTTCGTCGACGAAGTCAAGTCTGGCGATGAAGTTGGTGTACTACTGGATCAAACTAACTTCTATGCTGAACAGGGAGGTCAGATCTACGATGAAGGGTTTTTAGTAAAAATCGATGACGAGGTAATTTGACTTGAACCGCTGAATTTTTGCAATCTTTCATATTTTTAAGCCAGTTACAAAATTTTAGAGCACCGAAGTCTGCGTTAAAAATGTACAAGTCAGAGGTGGATATGTTTTACACATTGGTACTGTTGGCGAAGGTACGTTGAGGAAAGGCGACAAATTGTACTTAAACGTTGATAACTCGAGGAGAAGACTAGTCATGAGTAATCACACTGCTACTCATGCTCTAAACCACGCTCTGAGATGCGTTTTGGGCACTGAAGCAGATCAAAAGGGATCATTAGTCGCTCCAGATCGGCTAAGGTTTGATTTTACTAACAAAGGTATGCAGGCGATTTTTATTTGAAAAATACTTATGGAATAGCCAAAATATTGTATTTCATCTAATTTTTTCCAAAGGTGCTATGACCACAGAACAAGTAAAAAAGACTGAGCAGTACACAAATGCGATCGTAATCGCTGATAAGGTGGTGTACGCAAAAGAAAGTCCTTTAGCTGTTGCGCGTAACATTCAAGGGTTGCGCGCGATGTTTGGTGAAACGTATCCGGACCCAGTTCGCGTAGTCAGCATAGGTGTGCCCGTAGAAGACTTGGAAAAAGACCCGCTCAGTGAAGCTGGTACGAAGACGAGCGTTGAATTCTGCGGTGGAACTCATTTACATCGCACTGGCCATATTGGAGATTTTGTTATTGCCAGCGAAGAAGCTATAGCCAAGGGTATAAGGCGCATCGTGGCCCTTACCGGTCCTGAGGCTTCCAAGGCTTTGAAAAAGTCTGAGCTCTTGCAAAATCACTTGAATAATTTGAAATCTGATGTCGACAACGTGAAAGATTCCACAGCCTCCAAGGCCATTGTGAAGAAGATCGTTGAACTGACTGATGATGTATCACATGCTGTGATTCCCTATTGGAAAAAAGTAAGCTACACTATAAGCATCAATCTTTTACTTTCTTACGAATAAAATTTTTAAACAAACGTTAATCGCATGTGTAACAGGAAGATATGCGAAATGAGTTGAAAGCTTTGAAGAAAGCTTTGGATGATAAAGAGCGAGCTGCAAAGGCCGCGGTAGCGAATAACGTTGTTGAATTTGCCAAGGATCTAATCGAAGCTCAAAAGGGAATAGCAGTTTTAGTTGAAAAACTGAATGCTTACAACAACACAAAAGCTTTGGATATGGCTTTAAAAAAAGTGAAGGCAATATCACCCGAAACCAGTGCTCTGTTTATAACAGTTGATGAAGATGACAATAAAATATTTGCCCTCAGTGCTGTACCCAAGGTATTATTTTGCTTTAAGAAATGAAAAAAGAAATATAAAAATTTATGTTATTTTCTTTAAAATATTCATCATTCAATTTTTATTTTTCAGTCTGCAATAACAAAAGGATTGAAAGCTAATGAATGGATTCAAGCGATAGCTGGATTAATGCAAGGGAGGGGTGGTGGAAAACCGGAATCTGCTCAAGCTTCTGGTTCTAATATCTCGTGCCTGAACGAAGCCTTGGAAACTGCTAAGTCATACGCACTTGAAAAATTAGAAGGTACATCATAGATAACTGCATGTGTGTGGTTAGATTATAGAGTACTTGTACTTTCATTTGATATGCACCCGTCTTTGCATAGAAAAATTAATGTTTATATTTCATGAACTATATACCATAATGTACTTAATTGATTTGTTACAAATAACTACAAATATTGTCTGCATGTAAATTTTTGTTGCTGGCATGAAATGTTTTTTTTACGCAATCGTATTTTTCTCATATTATTATCTTTAAATTTTTTTACAATAAAAAAATGAGAAAAACTTACCGTTTTTGCTGTCATATTATTTTTGTATTTTGCTTCAATGCCAAAAAAGAAATTTAATTTTTACAGGAGTAAAAAGTAGTAAAGATTCAATCTGTACCAAATCTTCAAAAGAATTAGTATTTCACTGCAATGAAGGAAGTGTGAAAAGTCACTTGGTACAAATCGTATGCCGATATGCTGGAAAGTGCCTCAAATTAAATAATCATACAAAAGATAGTGAAATGAAAGGCTCCGTATATTTCAACGATGGAAAAGTAGAGTTAATTGATGGAAACGCCATTGCTTTTTATCTTGCGAATGCTCAATTTAAAGGCAATAACGTATTAGAGAAAAGTCAAGTTTTACAATGGATGAGTTTCTCAGATAATCACATTTTACCTTCAGTTTACGGATGGGTTTTACCATCTCTAAAAAATTCTTCGATCAAGACTTCTAAGGATTCTATAAAGAATTCCAAGGATACCTTGTTGCAAATAATGGAATCCTTGAATGAAGTATTGTCCGGTAATACTTACTTGGTAAGCGGAAAAATGACTTTGGCTGACGTGTCGGTATTTGTCTCTTTATCACCAGCCTATCAACACGTTTTTAATTCAGAAGTACGAAAGAATTATCGAAATGTTAACAAATGGTTTGAAACTGTATTACAACAGTCGAATGTTAAATGTCTCATGAGCAACTTCAAATATTGCGAGAAACAATAATTTTCACAATCGTTTTGTAAATTTTAGAGTTTTTTTTATTAAATAAAAATGTTTACACTACCAACTACGTTTCGCCTAATTCAACGTTTTTTTGATTTTCTGTTAAATATTTGTCATATAATATCCTAATTTCCCTCAACAAAGTAGAGACATTGGTACCTATTTTGGCAGAAATCGCTACGATCGGTTCATCAATTCTTTCTTGGAGTAATTGTAAATTTTCCTACGGCAAAAATTTTTTACTTGTTTTACAAAATTATTTTCAGCTAATTTAGAAACTGTTTCAATTGGTTTGTAAGCTTACCTTGGCTTGTGGTAAGTCAATTTTATTTGCAATGACTATTTTTGGCCGATCATTTAAATTATCATTAAATTGGCTGATTTCATATTTTAAAATTTCCAATTGAGTCCATGGTTCATCATGAGTGATGTCAATAATAAATAGTAATGCAGCACAACGTTCTGCATGCTTTAAAAACGTTATTCCGAGGCCTTTATTTTTATGTGAGTCTGGTATTAATCCAGGTAAGTCAGCAACTGAGCAGTAAAAGAGTTTAAGTAACTTGAAGTTATTTTTGTAATTTATTTAAGTATAGAAAAATGTAGCCTACCAGCTATTTGTTCATAATCATCATACTGAATCATTCCAATGTGTGGCTTCAGAGTTGTGAACGGATAGGGAGCAATCTTTGGTCTAGCTCTTGTAATAGCTGTAAGTAGTGTACTTTTACCTGCATTAGGAAGCCCAATCTAAAAACAAAAAAAGTTCGAGTCAAAATAAAACCACTATCATTAATTAATTAAATGACGTACCAATCCAACATGAGCCATACTTCTGATCTCTAGAACGTACTGATAACTTTCTCCTTCTGCGCCATACTCAGCAACTTTAGGAGTATTATTTACGTCAGATTTAAAAAAAACATTGCCATGACCACCTGCACCACCTCTGGCTGCTATAAATTTGGTGCCTTCTTCTTCCAAGTCAGCCAAAATATTTCCTTCTACATCTCTCACAATAGTTCCCATTGGAACTTTTACTATTTTGTGACTTGCGCTTTTTCCAAAACAGTCTTTGTTACCACCATTTTCTCCATCATCAGCTTTAAGAATACTTTGTACAGATGATAAATCTTTAATGTCAGGTGTCACCTATTAACAAAATTGAGGGTTCATTACATTATACTGATTGATTTGATTTGATGATACATAGGTTCATGATTAAAATTGTTTACCAACTTCAAATATCACGTGGCCTCCGTTACCACCATCCCCGCCATCTGGACCAGCTTTATCATTACACCACACTTGAAGAAAAGATACGTTTCCATCTCCTCCTTTACCTCCTTCTACTCTTACCTATATAATGAGGTAGACGATTTAATATGCTATGCAACGCTTGTCACAGTTTTGTGTATATTTGTCAATTTTACCTGCTTAATATCTACAAAATATTGCAGTGTGCCTCTTTTAGATTTTGGTTTTGTGTTTCTTAAGGCTTTTGGTACTTGGTCTTCTGCCAAATTGTGAGTGCTGTGAAATGACTTGTACATGTAACTACTGATAATACGATGTTTTTTAGTTGGAAACGTATTTTTTCCAATACTGTTGTAGTTTTTAAAAGTTCTATAAACTGTACATATTACTTTGAATCTGTTGGTCTGCATCTGCAATTACATATGTTTGTTTACAAATATTCACATAATACTTAAATAATTGTTTACATCTTTTTCTTTAAAAAAATGGATATAAATTAATCTTCTGTGTTACTAGTCCTACTATAGGTAAACTTCTTTCAATGACATTCTTCAGTTTCAAAATTCTGCCATAACTTTGGATACAAACATGCCAAGAAAATTAAACAACTACCAATGTTTCTCATACAGATTATTTTACTACAAATGTCAATAAGCTTCTTAAGGCAAGTGATAAGATTTTTCAATTAGATTTTTGATTAGTATAATGTTTGTATACTAATACGTGTTGATCTAAATAGGTTAAAAACAAAATTGTCGACTTTATGCCACTGTTTTTGAAATGAGAAGGAAAAATGCGTTTTTTTTCTCAAATTAACATAATTACAAGCTTCTTTATGTTGTGAAACAAAACTAATCAACAATTACCTGCATGGTCGGAAACAAAGTTATACGTTATTATGCACATCAGACAAAAAAGGGTAGATAAACAAAAAGCTTCTGCTATAACATTCAAATTCATGGCTCAGCTGAAGCGCCAATTGTCAACGTAAATTTTCATGAGGTGGTGAATTTCAGAAGCTGCGGAAGCAGGGTCCCTGACATCGACGCCACCACACAGTAAAAATGCCAAGCTCTAAATTCGATCTTTGGGAGTCTTGGGTTGAGACTCAATAATTTGAGAGTTTCGCGCGAGCACGTGGGCGAGGATCCGAGTAATAAGAGTGCGTACATACAAGTATGTTTAATATCACTTTAATGCTACAACGTTGAGCTAATTGTATTACATTGAGCACTTTGCCATGGTCCCTTTTCTTCTCGACTCCTTTTCCGGCTTTTTCCCTCGCCTCAGCTGTGGTGGTAAGAGAGCGCCTAAGGACTAAGGACGGTCGCGGTACCACGGTGATCAAGCGCGGCATATCGCTTTCCGTAACGCCACCGCGTATACGAGAGAGAAAAAGCTTGACTGAATAGTCAAAGTCCTCCCTCGGCACCAGCTGACCAGCGCTTGCTTGCGACGAATGGCATGTCGTCGGCGGGCTGCTACAGATATCGACCGATTTTTAAATTAAAGCTCTTCGCGGTAAAAAAGCTGTCGCGCGTTTGAACACGGAGAAAAATGAATTCCACCTTTCTGCCGATATTCTATCACGACACGTTCTTATTTTTATGTACTATATATATATTGATAAATTGAGCCAAGCTATTACTCGCTCGACAGTTTATTTTACTCTCTGTCAGGTTCAATGAAACTTGAAATATATTTAAAAAAAAAAAATAGTTACAATTTTTATAAAAGTTTCACAATGCTCTCGACATTTATCGTTGTGGTAACCGTCAAAACACAACGGAAGAACGCGTTGGCGGAGTATACATAACATAAAAATATACGTACTTGCTTATTTATAATTGTTGCGTTGAAATAATGTAAGAAACTTGACTTTGGCGAGTACTTACCGGTCAAGGGAGAAGGGGACGAAGGAGGTCGTTGTGTATCGACTTTATGTACCTTGTTCGGGACTCGGAAACGATGGAACTTGACTTTTGAATAATTTAGTCACGCGGTAATTGCTGAAATTAATTTTATAGTGTACAAAGAAGAAATACGGGGGGGGGGGGGGGAAGGAGAAGGAAGAAACGTAATCAGCCCAAATATCGATTCATCCCTGATTTGTCGATAAGCTCATATATTACGAGTTATTTTTTTACAATGTCATGACTTCCAGACCAGCGAGGATCGGATGGAACCAACGGAAAATAGTATCGATTAGCCGTAGTACTTGTCCAATGTAAACACGATAACTAACAAAAGTAAAACTCGATTTTCTTACCTTGTGTTTTATCTGCCGACAAATACGATAAATATCCACGGCGAGTAATAATAATAATAATAATAATAATAATAATAATAATCGGTAACGCTGAGACATAGAATCAATGATTTAGGGGCCTTTTGTGTTTTGACTTACAAAACGTGTGGTCACTATGTTATATAATTATTATACTGGTAAAATCCAGCACTCGTTGTTATATCGGTCGATTGTATATTGTATGTTGTATCGTATAGGTATACACAATATAAAGAAGACCAAGCGCATATTGCATAATATTGAAATCAGATCATATAGTTTTCGATCTAATCGAGTCACTCCATAATATTTATTATAGTATCATAATACACACGTCAATAAAAAATGAATAAAATAAGAAATAAATAAAAAAAAAAAATATCAATTACAAACAAAGTACAGTTTGTAAAAATAGCATCTAATCAAATCGAGCTGTAATGTCAAGTTGTATATATGTATGCACGTATGTGCAGTGCATGGATGTAGTAGTAGTAATTTAGAGCAATTAAACCCTTTCACGAAAATACTGGTTCACACTGGTGTCTATACTAGCTTTTTACACCTGAAAAACCTATCGATGATAAGGTGTATATGGCGCACAGGTACGAACAGCCTGTAATTAGAAAAAACAAAAAAAAAAACCATGGGCTACTGTAGCTGGGTATAGCTTTATACATTGTCTCTAAAAAATAAATGGTGTTTTTATGCACATAGTGATTGAAATGTGCGCGACAAAATCAAACGGTACAATGTTATTAAAAGTTCTTTTATATAAGTAGTGTTGAGTATAGCTATTTATATTTCGTTTTTTTTTTCCACCACACAATTTCTATATATGTATGCATATGTTGTACTGTCCTATATACCCTCTTATCTTGGATCTCGTATTCTCTATTAACGATCGTGTTTTCACGCATTTATGCCAATTTGTGTCCAAAAAGGCGTGTGTCATCGCGTTGAATATATATAAGTATATAAGTATATAGGAGTGTACAGTCACCAGTTGCATGTACTCGCTCAATTATATTGCTAAAAGCCACATGATGGCTCTGTCGGTAGCGTGTCTGCCTACAGATCTTGATGGCCGGGGTTCAAATCCCACTCTGGACAAAAATTTCATCATTGAATGAGGTTTTTTTCTGGATGGGAGTTGTACTTCAATAAACCTACCGATCCATCTACCGTTTCCTCCTACTGTTATTAAACCCAACGTATGGCTAAATACACTTTATGGTGTCAAAATAGCCATGTCTGAGCCCTTAAGGGGCGATGATGAATATAAAAAAAAAAAAAAAAAAATATATATGTATGTAAGGACGAGCAATAATTAGAGAG